AGCAGTGCAAATGTGAGCCATGTGAGCCTCGGCTCTGCAGTGGGGCCCAACATCTCCTGATCAAATGTTGCCATGGAGCACTGAGCTTCTTAAAATGGCCCACTTACCCCTCTGCACAAAGCTAGAAAATCATTCAGTCTCTTCTTCATGTCCACGTGCTAATTTTTGGTTCGTTTCTTTTTATCTCCAAGACAAAGCTGCAAGATTGGCAAAAATTGTAACCCGAGTGCTTTTAATACAGAGCGGAGTTAAACAAAAGAGCGACTGAATATTATTTAGAATGCATGTAACATAAAAATGTTTTATCCCCCTAAATTGCATTAGGGAACAAAGCTCTAACTTTTTTCTCTTCTGTGGCTTTCAGATTTTTCTGTAAGTTCCACATGAAGGTTGTTACTGAATCGTTCTTCAATATCAAACGAATATTGTTGCCAGAGGAGTGGGAGGATTATTGTGAGATGGGACAGGAAAGATGCTGTGTGATTTGTCTTCATGTTCGTTGGCCCAGTCATGTTCTTCCAAAAAGAAATGAGAAAAGAGAAAGTCCCTGTTGGATCAGTAGTAGTTCTGAGATTAATGGAGTGAGAGCTGAGGTTTTTGTCAGGTATTTTAATGTTCTTACTCCTGAAGTATTTGAGTTAATGGAATTTTAAATTAACACGAGAGAATATCAATTTGTATGAAATATATCACTGGAAATATGCATAAATATAGGCATTATCTTATTTCCTTCTGTTAGAAAATGTGGTAATAGCTAGTTTTAATCTTTAAAAGCAATCTTGAGCTTTTCTTGACTGGTTTAAATCTCCAATTATCCACTTACGAGTACCTGTAGCATCTCCTGAATAGTGCCTCTTGTCTGATTATGAATTTACTATTAACTTTCTTCTGATGATTAGGTTATGATCTGTAGTTTGGGCAGTGTCAGAAGGGACCAAACTTTAGACTTTAGTAGCAGTGTGTGGTCTTCTATTCTGAACTCCCTGTGGATAGCTCCCATTTTTCCTCAGCAAGAAAGCACTTACGTTAATTGCCTCATTTCAAAGACATAGTAGCTCTTTCTGGGCTCTAAGTAGCCTTCCAAGCATAGCTGACGAGGTTTGGGACACCTGCAGCCCGACCAATTTGGGGAGGAAAAAAAAAAAAGCCATTAGTCTGCATGGAAGAAAAAAAAATCGAAGTGCTGAAGTTCAGAATATTATCAATGATGCTGTGTTGGAGCAGCCTGAAAGATTTGGCTTTTGGTCTATGCCTGGTGCTATCCAAAACAACATATAAAATTCTTTGTGGGCCCGTTTTAAGACTGTCTTGTTCATTCAGAAGGGCCCTGTGTGCGCTGTTTGTTCCGAGGGCAGAGGCACCAGCCAACAGCTGATTCCTCCTCAGAGGGAAGCATTGCCTAATGGTGAGCACAGGAGCCAAAGACCGCGGGGACAAAGTGCTAAAGATAAACAGCTCAATCCCCGACTGTTCAAAGGCCTCAATAAAGCCTCTGATTTACACTTTTGGGGTGGGACTCTGCTGTCCCCACCTGCAGGCCGGCCCCTGGCGTGAGGAGGTGCTGGTGTGTGTGACCCCCTGGGCCCCTCAGGGATGAAACACCGCCTTTCCGTGGCACAAAGCTTCTCTGCAGATTTGCTTTCTCATCACCGGGGAAGGAAGAAACAACGCAATCTGCTCATTTTGTGGAGGTGCTGAACGGGAAGAGCCCACAGGGGCTGAATGGCACCAGAGGGTGCTCCCCTGGTGTGATGGACTCGGGGGCTTTTTGGGCTGCCGTAATGAGTGGCTGGTTCCAGGAATTTGCGTAGCAGTAAAAATACAAACTGCTTTTACGCACAGGTTTTGTTTTGCTTCAACAGGCTTCAGCAGCAGCTGGACTGTTAAATAGTAACACTTCCAAAATTGAGGGGGATGTTTTAACCTTTCTGAGCATTAACACGGTTCCTACCTTTCCACCCCGAAGATGAAAGTGAAAATAACTCTCAAGGTTTTGGTTCACCTTTATATTTGTGCCTTTCTTTCATAATGAATTTTTTTCCTGGCAGAAGTACTTGATCTGTGAGGGGTCACATAAGCTTGGCACATTGGAAGCTGATGGGGTTATGAATTTAGTGAGCAAGTGGGTGCATTGGGGCAGGTTAGTTATAGGGAGATTGTTTTATTTCGCCTCTTGAAATACAGAGCAATACATCTTATTTTGGAAATACAGTGCTGTACATCTGTTATTAAGATTTGCCTTTCGAGTGAATGAAATTCATGCAGTCATAGTGAATGTATAAGGGATATGGCCTCATTTATTGTCTGTATTTTTAGTTTCTTGTAAATTTCTTAAATTTCTTTTATTAATTAAATCTTTAATTTCTGTTAAGTAAGTTGGGAACTCATTTGGTATTTTTTGCTGTATTCATGCGGCTGTTTGTGGTTCATCCATTTACTGAACACTGCACTCAACTCTGTGACAAGAGTTGTGTTCTCAGGACATAAAAGGGATAAGGGGAAAAGCAATTTGGATTTTTAGTTTGTTGTTGTAATTGTTTTGTTTTGAAAAAAGCAGTAATGTACACCATTTCTGTTTGCAGTGATGTTTTTATGCACTGTGTAGGTCAGACTAATTTTCGAGAAGGAGGTTTTTTCCTCCTCTTGAGGAGAAGTGTATAATAGGCATTGTGTACAGCCAGGAGTCCTTGAGCTTCTGCTGATGGCTTGGAGCAGTTGAGTGGCTGGAGATGGAGTCAGGCTGAGCTCTGCTTTGAGAGGCAGCTCCTGAGCACGCAGTAATAACTAATACACTCCTTTGAAAAGGTCAGCAAGCACTGTGGAGGAGATGAAAGCTGGGAGAAAAGGTGTCTTCATTCTGTGCTTGCTTGGAAAGTGCTTTTTTTCAGACAGGGACAATAAAATGTGGTAAAGCAGGAAAACCGTATTTTGTGTTTGTTTCAAAGTTCAGGGTATTATTCTTGGTTGTTTCTCCTCATTCTCTTGAGGCTGTGTTTCACCACAGGGGTACTAAGAGTGTTGTCTAAACAGAACTTTTCATTTCTAGCTGTGCTGTATCACTGGAACAAAATACTGATGTGTGCACAGGAAGCCAGTATCACTGTATCGAATGAATTTAGTCTCAGGCCTCAGAGACCTTGTTAGTGCATCTTTAAATGAATAAACAGGCTTCTTTCCTCTGCTGCTCTTGACCTCACTTTTTCTGACTGAGGACTGCCTGACTTCATTCTATAAGTAGAAAATCTAATTCTCTTGCTTTGTTTTTTGTTATAAACAGTCTGTGTTGATAAGAAAGCCTCTAGTGCAGGTGTTTTTCACTGAATGCTGCTCTACTTTGTGATAAAAATCACATAAAACAAGCAAAACCTTCCTGTTGAACTACACATATTTGCATCAATACCCTGTGTGCTGTCTGTCAGGGTTGTCTGATATTGTTTTATAGTCTTTAATTGAAATATTTTAAAACCTTTGTCCTTCAGAGAGGACTGCTGTGAAAATATTTCATGAGAAATTGTATTTTTCCATAATTAACAAGAAGCAAAAGGGATTCTGGCAGGCAAAGGAAAGTGCATGCATGTGTGCTTGAGCATGCATTGCTTGTTTCCTGCCCCGTGCTTGTTAGTGACCCACGGCCAGGCAGTTAGTGCCCCACAAATCTTGAAAATGCCTTTATTTCTGGAGTCACTAATGGCAAAGGCATCGTTCCAGCTGTCCACCCCCAAATATTTAATGTTTTTGTTCTTGCTTACAAGTGCACAGATACACTGCAGATTTTCTGAAATGGCCATCTGATTAGTGATGGAACTAGAAAACTCAGATTAATTTTTCAGATTATGTTCTGGTAACTTTCTAGTTTCTGTTGCATTTTCAGGAAATAGAAAGGTGGAGTGTGACATCTGTAACAGTAAAAATGGTGGTGGTTTAGAGATGTAAATACTAAAGCTTTATGCTTGAAAACCAAAGCTTAAATTCGTATGTTCTGTGCTTGTCTGGGCAAGGGAGAGGCATTTTGAAATGCTGAGTGCAGAGTTGAGGAAGGGTCAGGAACAGCTCAGTCAACTGCAGCTAAAGCTGCTCCTCCTAACCTGAAAGTGACAATTTTTGGGGAAACCAAGGCAGTAAATAAATCTGTATCTAGATTTGTTTCTCAATGTCCAGGAGCAAAGAAAGAGCTTCCTTCTACTCCTTCTTGGAGAACAGAATCCCCTCAGGGCCTGAGCTCATCCTGGTCGTGATTATTTACTGCTGCGCTTTAGATGGAAACCTTGATAGAGCGTTTAATCCCTGCCCAAGAACCATTGTATTCAGTGCATGTAGTTTAAATGCCTCATCTGGGTTTTTCCTCCTTTTACATGCTACTTTTAGTCTGTGGGTGAACATGTTGCCTTTTCTCAGTCACTTCCCTTAAGTTGTGTATAAATACATGGGATTCTTGAGAAGGTCTTAGGTCAGGCACAGGTTGCCAAGTTGCTTTGCCATGGAGCAAAAATATTCACTGTAACATCATATATTTTGTTCTCTGCAGAATCCCGTGCTTAAAATATTTCCTTTGGGTTTCTGGCATTTGCTACACCCTCTGCTTTGCTGTGAAGCTTAGTAGCAGCTTTCACGTGGCAGTCTTCCAGATGAATATTGATTATTTTGAATTATGTTAAATGTTCTGTACTTTGGGTGATAGCAGACTGTGAGTTAAAAACAGAGCCATGGGGAAGAGCTTGGGTATAGTAATTTCCTGTCCCCCAGCTTCCTGACAGCGTCTTAATTTGAGACTATTCAAGTACATTTAATTGTTGGCACTGAAACCTTACTTATTATAATCCAGTTTCCTGTTTGCAAGTATCACCAGTTCTCTGACAAACTGAATTTGGGGAGGAAAGTAGAATAAAATTACAAGTGTGCTTGTATTTGTATATTCCACACATATACAACCCCCAAGCTAGTTACATAAAGCTGTTAAGCACCCCAGTGGTTGTAACAAGATTATCTTGCTTTTTAAACAGGTATTGAGAAGATGGAGAAGACTTTGAACAGAATTCATCCAGTTTCTGATCCAGAAGCAACCTATTTTCTACAGGTGTCATGGGAGAAGGATTTAGGCACTGGCTTTGATTTACTTCTTAGTGATTGTCAGTGTGCCTGGACTGGGACAGGTAATGGAAAGAGAAGTACATTAATTTAAGTTATTACTGTTCAATAATTCCTAATAATTCATAATAACTCAACTTGTATGGAAATTTCAGGGGCGTGTTTTCCCCTGTGATGGAGGAGGTAGGGTTCATGATCTTCTGGGATGTGGCCAGAGAACTCTGAAATTTGGAGAGATTATTGTGTGTCAAAGCTAAAACTAATTCGTTCAGCACATGGATATGCAATGTTTTGTTCTTTCTCAAGAATGTATAATTTCTTGGAGTGATGCTGAAGTAACACTTCTGTGTCTTCTCCAGATTCTTGAACAAATGTGTACGCAAGTTCCATTTGCAAGTTGGAGTCCATGAAGACTTTAATTGCAGATGTTTCTAAAATGTTTTCATGAAATTTTAATAGCCAAAGGTAGCTGTATTTCGTACTGAAGTGAATTTTTGGGGAGGAAAAGGGACAATAAATGATTGTAGGAAAATCTTAGCCTGTGCGATTTTTTTCTCCTCTCTGAAACCTCAGTAAGGGGATGTGTCTCTGCATATGTGCATGCTTCTGTCATTCATGCCCAGTCAGAAAAGGTTGGATTTGTGTGTTCCTTGAGGAATATCAAATACTTGATCAAAGGCCCTTCTCTGGGTAGCAAAAATATTTCAAAGGGAGGAGAGAATTGTGTATTTTCAGCAAACTGTAGGCAAAACCATTTTCTGGACGCTTTGTCTGAATTACAAGAAGTGTCTATGAATTTCCTTTCTTCCTTCTCCCTGCCCTGTGGGTGTTGTTTCTCCTCAGTTCCTACATAAGCCAAGCTTTCATATAGATCTGAGATTAGATAAATGTAAATTAAAATCAACACATAAATTAAATCTGCTTTTCCATATTCCTTTTTAACATTTCAAACACTCCATCGATCAGGGGTCCCTGCACAAAGCAAACACATGAGTTCCAATCCTGATTTCCAGTAATGAAAGGTTTTTCTTTCTTGGCTGGACAATTGTAATGTCAAGTTATTTTGAAAATAAGAAGAAGGGTGTTAACACTGACAAATACTGGTTTTTCTGTTTAAAGGATTTTCTCGTTCTTAGGCAGCTTCAAAATCCCTGTTTTAGAATTCACAAAAAGATGATTCTTATTTTTCCCAGTGAAGGCTGTGCCAGTATAGCTGGGAATGTGTAGAAGAAATAGGTGGACATAGTTCTCATTTTGTGGAGTTCCTGCATCTGGTGTAATGGGGCATAATGATTTTCCAAAACAGAGGGGCAGTGAAAACAGGGTGACCTCACTCCACTAAAAAGTAAAGAAAGAAACCCACAACAGTTCAGCCGTGAGCGCTGGGTGCTCATCCAAAGGAGAGTTTTTTTCTGCTCTGGAAGAATTTGATCCCTTTCTAAGAAATCTTTATTGACTTTCTTGTTCCTTGAATAATTCATATTCAAATAATTAATAATTCACTGGGGGTTGGTGTTCTTGTGCATGAGGCTTTTCTACTGCACTGATCTCTGCTTCATTCCACGAAACATCAGTTTTAGTTACTTTCTAAAGTTATTAGATCATTTTTGAGACTGCTTCCATTTTAAATTCAAAAGGGAAAGGGAAAGCAACGGTCAGAATATTCTTGCTGTGGGAAATCCCTTTTGGGTTTCTCATGCTGTGGATTATTTTCCTTGGCAAGACCTACCAGGAAGAGAGTGAGAGCTGCTGATGGAGTTGTCTTTTATGGGTTTTGTATGTTTAATGTGATGATGAAATGTGTTAGGAGTGCTGTTTAAGTCCTGTTTAAGGAGAGAGGGAATACAGTGAATATTGGAGGGGAGGAGAAGCACAAAAATGTGCAATGTAATCTAGTGTGTTACATTGGTATTGGCTTAAAGACCTATATCTATGAGGATTTATGTGTATTTTCCCAATGATTGATCAGTTCTGCTGGTTTTATATCATAAAGGAACAAGCAGCATATACAGGAGAAAAAGAACCTACAGTGCTCTATTGCAGTATTTTAGTGTCTTTCTTATTATTATTTTCTTGTTATTAAAAGTTTATCTTCTCAGTATTGAAATCAGTGTTCCAGATTAACATCTTTTGTGTTTCAAACTTGCCTTTTTGCCTCTTTGCCTCACTCTGCATGGGATTCCACATTTCTCTCTGTACTGTTTTGGGTAACTTTAGGCAACTGGAACTGTGGATGAGTAGCAAAAAGGAAATAACCCATTTTCAGACAGGGAAAAAAAGAGTACAGAACTTCTGTAAAGTATTTCTGTACATTTCCACATGTGAAAATGGCCAATGTGTGTTCAAGGGAAGAATAATCTCCTAATATTTCCTAGAATTACAGAATGCCTTGGGTTGGAAGGGACCTTGAAAGTCACCTAGTAGGTGTCTGTTTGTATATACATATAAATATATGTATATATTAAAAAAAAATTGTTTAAAAATTAAAATTAAAAATTATATGTGCTCTAAAATACATATATTATATATATAATATGTGTGCTATTTATATATAGTAAATGTATATAAATGTATTTTACATGTATAAATGTGTATTAATTATGTTTTATATGTAATGTATATTGCATATACTTGTTCACACATATATGAATATTTATTCCTTGCATAAATATTATTATAAATAATAATATTTATTCCTCTCTTTCTGGTAGTGTTTGAAGCAGACATTTCTAGGGAGGCTGCTGACATAGAAATGGACAGAGAAAAATATGTGGCAGAGCTGAGGAAAGCACTGATAGCTGGAGAAGAGTCAGCTGGCAGATACAACTTTGTGATTTCAAGAGATGAGCAGAGCAAGGCCTGTCACTTCTCCTATGAAAGGAACCTGAAAGATGGCTCTGTAAGTAGATAAATGTTTAAATTTAACTGTTAAACTATGAGAATGAAATACATTTTTGTATTTTATTATGGTCTTTAAAGTCAGACAGATGTGTGATACTCATCCAGATTGGATGAGTGTTGTGAGCTCTTTCGTCTGCCGAGCTAAAAAGAAAGTTGGTGTTTTGGGATGGATGCTGCCCTTTTCGTATTGTAGCCTCCTGTGCACTTCTGTTATCCTTGTTTCTTCAGCCTCTCTCTGTCCTACTCACCTAAATTGGAAAAAAAATAATATTCAGGCAATATTACTTTCAAATGCTCAAACATAGTTTTAAAAATAGCTTTTCTACTGCTTCAGATATTTTGTAAGCTAAGGCTGAAATTCTTGCGTTAAACTGCAAATGGGAAAGTGGTTCCATTCTGCTTGCTTGGCTGCAAAGGGAAGGACCCTCTTAAAATAGGAAAGAAACCAGTATAATCTGTATCTGTAGACATTCTGGATATTTCAGGTTGTGCTTTGCTGTGTTGAAACCTCTCTGAGGAAAAAAGCTAACTTAAGGTTAATCTCCTAGTTTGTCCTTTTTTTTTTTTTTTCCTTTTAGTTCTTTTACATGTTTTTTTCTTTGTGCAGTATAGGAAATTTCAGCCCAGTTTGGCTCATGAGGAGCCAAAGTTAGGGCTTGTAAATCTACCTTATAAGTCTGCATTATAAGTATTTCTGTGAATTTATCCAAGGCCATATTGACCCTAAACCTTGTGAGCTGTTCAATTGTTCATGACGATGTTGCAAGTTTAGGATCAAACTGTACTCAGAAATTGAGAGCAGTAAGGTTAAGAATCCTTTTTTTTTTTTTTTGGTTCTGCTCTGTGTCACACGTGTCCTAAATACAGGCCAGGTTAAATACATGCTGTATTTTTTGTTAAGTGAAAATATCCTTGTGTTTCTGGGGTCACCTAATACATGTTTCCATCAATTAAGGCTTATGATAAATTTAATTTGTATGAAAACAACTTTATGTCAATGTGGGAAAATAATAATCCGGCCAAAGAGACTGAAAACACAAATAACTTTGATTCCTATGTATGTTTTAAACTTTGGGTGTTGAAAGAGTGTTTTTAGGTAAGATAGGATTTCTTGGGTGAAAATACACCTTTTTTTTTTTCTCCTTCTGTACTAAACTAATGCCTACAAGTAAAATTGCCAAAGCAATTATGAAGAATTAAATAATAGAATTAGGTACTAGGAATAGATTTCAGGTGTGTAACAGAATATACTCCAAATGTTTTGCAAACTGTCTGTGGAAGTACTTGTAGTCTCTCTCTTTTAGCATAACATTAGGAAATTACTCTTCCTGGGCTCTGTACATCCAGAAGGCTGATATTCAACTAAATATAAATTTAGCACAGAGGAAGCATAGAGAAATTACTCTTCAGCTTAAACATGACTTAAATTCAGTGTTTATCTCTTATCAGTTTAATAATTAGCAGTTTTTTGTAAAAAAAATGCAAAAACTTCTGAAATGTGTTGTTACACTTTACATTACAAAATGTTTATCAATTAATATAAGTAAAAATTTTGGCAAAATCTTTTCATGAAATTGGTACTTGGGTGGCTGAGACTCAATTTTGTAGTCTTAGAAAATCAATAATATGCCTTGCCTTATTTTTTAGAAATATATGCATGCATATATACACAAATTCAGTTATATTAATTATTTTTAATGGGACCTGCCTAGAACTTGATGCTGATCACCAGCAGTCACCTGTGCCCAGTAATTTCCAGAGCTGAGCTCTGTCATTGTTCTCCATCTCACATGGGACTAGTGACTGGCAAATCTCTGAGCTAGAAACTGATTTATTGTTTTCGTGGCTGTACCAAACCATGGCATTTGGAATGAGTTTTGCCTTCTTTGCAGCAACTTGCTGAAGCTCTGCTTCCATAAAGCCTAATTATGTGCCAAAACTGTGTTGGGTGGTGTGTAGGAGTGCAAATAAAAGAAGTGGGGTGATGTTAAGCAAAGGAAAACATAGGTATAATATTGGGAAATGGCTTCTGATATGGAAATTTGTTTTACTGCTCAGGTGTTTTCTGGAGGAAGTGGTGGCAGCTCCATTGTGCCCCTTGCTTTGAAAGGGACTGGCATGAAAAATGCACTTTAATTATCTGCACTGTAGTACATTTGATGACTTAACAAGGTGTTTTATTCACTTGTTCTTCAGTTAATAATGAACAAATAGGTTCCTTCCATGACCTGATGTCTGGGTGATTAAAAGGATGTCCTTACACCTACTCCTGCTTTGATGGAATAAAACCAAACCTGTATCTGCATGTAATTTTAAATGTGTTTATAATTGTCAGTGTATAATAATGACATGTATGTGAGGTTTGTGTAATGGATGAATGCTGATGGTTTGTGTTTTGAATGGAAGGAAAACTTCCAAATTCTTCCCAAGTCACGAAGAATTCCTGTCTGATTTAGAGGGAGCACAGTGTAACATGTTTGTTTTGTAGTTGTCTGTAAAGCTTAGAAGTAACAGAATAAGAAAAGTAGTTTAACTTACGGCATGTTCACAGGGGTTTTAGTACTTATTTATTTTGAAATGTTGGTCAGGAGATAACGAAGTCTGAGCTGTGGAAGCACTGGTTCTGGCTGTGCCTCAGGATAGGAAATCATGCCTTTAAAAAGCCTGACGCGTTTGGTGCAAATCCCGATGGGTTCGGTGAAAATCCCGGTGTGTTTTTGTGAGAATTCCAACACGTTTAGTGAAAATCCCGGCGTGCTTGTGATTTACCTCCCTCAGGACAGGTGTCTCTGCCTTTGGGAGCCGTGTTGGGGTGTCTGGGGTGTGGGGAAGGACCCTGGAATAACAATGTCTGGGAATTGTGTGCGGATCCAGCTGCAGCCCCGGATGGGCCACACACACCGAGACCCCGGCGAGGGGCCAGGGAGGCTGGTCCAGCTCAACTGCTGCCACCTAAACAAACACCAGCCACAGAGGCAGTGATTTAGTGCTTGATCTAAGTAGGTGACCACTGGGAAGTAAATCTTTCCAAGTGCTTCAGCGAGTCACTCCACATATAATAAATAATGGAAATCCGGCAAGCTCTTTCTTTTTTTTTTTTTCTTTTTTCTTTTTTTTTTCAGGGATGGCAATTAAATAGACTAAATAGCCTTTGATAAACAATTATTTGAGTGCTAGCAGTCTCTTTTTTTACAGTAATGTGGCATTACAAATGCTCTGGGTTTTTTTTTTCTCCTTCCCTTTTGCTCAAGTTTGTAAACAGGGAGGGTAAAAGCTTAACAAATTCCACCTTAGATGCAGCACTGTTGCTAATTAGGATGATGGAAGAGATGCTGTTACTTGTCTCCTCCATTTCCTGTGGCTGCTTTATCCTGGTTGGGCCTGTGAGTTCATTATAAGTTTACTAAGAGTTGAAAAAAAAAGCGGGAGAAGTTTGTGCTAACCAAAACTTTTCACAGCATACTGAACGAGAGAAATGTAATTGGCAGAGCTCTTTGTGCTGTCCAAACTCTCTTGGTTCAAGGTCTGAACAGCTACTTCTCTCCAAACCACTGAGGATGTGTTGTTTGGTTAGCAAAGGTCACTGAGAGTTCAGGTTGTTTCCCACCAGCAATTCCACCAGCTGAGGAGAGAGGAAGATGAAATGATTAATCCTTAGGTCAGTGTGAAAGTAATGGCTCTCATATCACTTATATCACTCAGTATCTTTGTACTTCAAGACCTGAGAGTGGACACTTGAATGGGTTTCTTGGAAGCCCATTTTGGAAATTGCTGGCTTCTAATGTGCCTTATGTAATGGAAACATTAAGTGTTATCTTGTAAGTAATCTCAGAATGTTGAGTGATGATTTTCCCCATCTCACCTCGGGTGTACCTTCAGGTATTTCAGGAAATGCAGTGCACTACTTCTGTAGCCTTGAGGTAAGAAAAAACATTTCTGAATGAATGATTCCCTACCGTATTATTAGGTGTACAATACAAGGTGTAAGTGTACAAGGTGTGACAGAAGTTCTGGTGAATTAAGTAATTAAGTTCTGCTATTTTCCTTGCTTAGCCTATTAGATTATGTATTTGATTGCTGCTTCTGATAAGCAGTAGTTTGGGGAAATTAATTTAAAATACTGGTAACTTATACCTTTAAAACTGGTGCTGTTGAAATAGGAGGAATCAAACACTGTGTTGAATAAATTCTCTTTATTTTTCTCAACCTGTTAGGATATGCGTATTTCACTGGACCTATCCATTTAGATAAAAATGGGACTTTAATTTCTTTAAAGCCTATTGTAAATTACACTATGAAAAGCACCTTATTTCTTGAGTACAATGAGTGGCTAAATGCATTTCAAGTATACCTAACATGTTAGTAAAATAGCAGATTTGGATTTGTGCAAGAAAAATTGTCAGTTGTCTTTTCTCCCTCTTGGTGTTATTGTGTTGTCTTCCCTCCTTCCCTCTTGATTCTTTCAGATTTTCCAATTCTGGAATACCTGCTGTGCATTTCAAATCCCTGTGTGGACATCAAGGCCTACTTTCATTTGCAGAATGGGGTACAAATGCTTTCCTTTCAGGAGGAAGAAATCTTTAAATCATGGCGTATTGACAAGCTTTAGTTTCCCAAACACAAATTACAGAGGACAGTAGGTGCACTGGAAAAGAGATTACTGTGTGTGGGCTCTAAACCTTCACCTCAAGAGCCCAGCCCTGTGTTTTCTGTGAGGGAGAACAGCAGCCAGAGCCTGAAAACCAATGACAATCTCACCTGTGGTTTCTCATCAGAAGCTCTCTCACAGCTCCAGAGGAACCATTCATCTTTCTTCCTGCAAAGGAGAGCTCTCAAGCTCATTTTAACTCTTGGGTTCACTAAAACAGCACCTTTTGCAATATAAAATATTGAATGGATAAGTTAAAACCCTCAGAGCAACTTCAACACCTCTGTTATTTCTGCTGCAGTTACAGAAAATGTCTTGAAATTTAAAAAAAGGGCAAATTCAAGATGTCC